CACTGTATTTATATTAGTACTTATTATCAAGTATTAATACTTTAGAGCAACTGAGCAACTATTATTATTGCCCTGACTGATTTTTTTTTATTGGAATGCCCTATTCTGCTCATTTGTAACGAGCATCTATTTTAATTCAACCTTGCTGTATCTACCCATTTTACTATTTACTATTATTTTATTAATATTTTCAATTATTTAATTGTTTTTTTTTTATACTAAAATATTTTTCACAATTTGCAATAGTTGCTCATACCTGATTCTGTTGGAAAGGAGTGTCTGCACAACAATGGTTTTATAATAAACTAATTTCAATTTAAATTCTCTTTGCAAGACACTCTTTTTGGACAGAATTCAGGGATTTAATGGCGGTTTTACACCAAACCGACTAGTTGAGTTGCTGTTTTGTTGCGGTTTTAAAAAACAAAAATTCAACTGTTAACGATAAAACTGTTAACACCAAGCAGACAAAAATTAGTTGCTGTCGAGTTTTTGTTTTCTGTTGTTTCACATCAGAGAAACAGTTGCAGTTTTGTTTAGTTCAATTCAGAAAGTAGATGGGCGTTCATTATTTTATATTATTTATTAAAAAAAAAAATCAACATGGTTAGTGACGAGAAATGCTTTTTTTTTCTCGTGTGCGGTTGGTTATTGGTACGTGATTTAGAAAAAAAAGAAAACGTCGTACACGCAGGTATTGGGTGGCATCCTTATTAAAATACTAGCTAATGACCCGCTGCGTTGCCAGCGTGTAAATACATTTTGAAATAATACACTTCTTTTCAAATTTTGTTGTTGATTTTCTATTAAATTTTTTTTTTTAATCCGATATCAGAGTCGCTTGCCAGTGAGTTCAGTGACGCATTTTAAGCACTCCAGAGCTGCTCTAGAGCGCCCCGGGCTGTTTATAGGCGTTCCAGTGTATCAGAGTTTTACGCAACCGAACTTTTTTTTTCGGGATAAAAAATAGCCTATATCACTCTCCTCTATAGCCGATTCGATTGACCGGATTAGATCGATCTGGTTCAATTTAAATGAACCACACTGTGTTCGATTCAAGCTGGATCAGTGCACCCTCATCAACAAAAAAATGATCTAGATCAGAAGAAGTTCACTTAAATTGAACCCAAATCGATCTAATCTGGGTCAATCGAATTCACCTTATATAGAGATACGTGGTATTAATTCAAGATCGGTCCAGCCGTTCTTGAATTCGAAAAATAATAAAGTTACGTCGGTTGAATGCAAGCCTAAATAAATGAAATATGTCAACGTTATTTCATGCTGTCAAAAAAAGTTAGTTATGTTGTTATGTAATGTGAATGAGTTTGTTTACAATTAAATTAATAAATAATTTAAAATTAATTTCTTTTTCCGAGATGCGTAACCTATCCTCAAACCTTCCTTGGGATGGCCATAATAACCTACCAAAGTTTCATCATAATCGGATAAGTGGTTTTAGAGCGCATATCCGGATACCCCGTGAACTTTGATTTTTATATATATATATATATATATATATATATATATATATATATATATATACATCCTCAAACATTATTGCGTCCGTACAAAAACATACATTGTTGCGTCACCAGGAAAACGAAGAGTTATCTAGATTCTTAAGGCGTATACTGGTTCACCAATGAATTTGATAGATGGGGCTATATGTAGATTTTCTGTATCTTCAAATTTAAAATATACAGATTTTCATATATTTTTAAACCACTGTTGCGTCCTCATAAAAAGCAACCTTGTCAGCTCCATATATTGGTTGCACCATACAATGTTGCTTCCGTGCGATGTTGTCAAACTGACAGGACGCAATAAAATTACGAAACTATGACGAAGGTAAATTGAATATCGGCTTATCGGAGTTTTCTTGGTAAAAAGAAGTATGAGCTGATTTGGACAACATCAAAAACGCAACATAAAATACAGAACAATAATTTCTCCTGCAATTCAAATGCGTCTCATTAAGTCGCAATTCTTTTCGCCGGTATGTCACCGCAAAAATTGCGACTTACTGAGACGGATTTGAATTGCACCCCTCCTAATACTCATACATATTTTTCTATACGACTGCCTTAGAAAATACATTTTTGCGCACGGAAAGCTTGCTCTGAAAGTGGAACTTCACTCACGAACATGTCATAATAATAATTACGCACGCATCTTCCATTCACCATTATTTTTGTTTAGTTCTGTCTCAACAACGTCAAAAATCTGTGATATTTCCAGTTTTCCAGTATTAGTTCTATTTTTATAATGAAAAAAGTTAAACAGAAAAATATGATTTGTCTTATTTGCAGTCGTAGAAAAAGTAGGTATCGTAAAAAACTCGTTCGAAAACCTCTTTGCTCATCCGATTTGTCGACAGCAAATTGTCCTACCCCCAGATGCACCGTATGGACCAGATTAGTTGCTAAAACCAGATTAAGACTTCTTTTTCATGTGCAAATTTTCGAACTAAGCGAGAGTAAACTCCCAAGTCCATACGGTGCATACGGGTGTCAGTCGTGTAAAAAGAGTCTCATTTTCGAAACTTGTTGCTTAATATACTATTGCTTTTACTTTTTTGTTATGCCTATGTATAAATTAAAACTGGTGCGGGATAAGAAATGCGCATAACTACTCTTGTTATTACATTTCTCTGAAAAAAAAAATGGGAAATTCGGGGACTAGGAGGTGGAAAATAAGAAAAGTAAGGTCCGTTATTTGAAAATATATTTTCATAACTATAAAAAAGAAAAAACATTCAACAGGACAAACAAAAATATTGACAAGAGAAATAAAACGGTTTTCCGTATATGGCGCCCATTCTAGCGGTTACGAGAGAAATCAAACCTTAAATCTACATGATCAGCCAATCAAATTAATATTTCTTAAGGAATTAATTTCCAGCAAGTTGGAAATTGTTTTAATACCTTTACTCGGTCCTAAATGCGTCTAATCTAAGTTTGCACCATCCCAGGAGGTGAGCATAAATTTTGGTAGTCGAGAATCCGACAAATTTTTGCACTTCTTTAGTATTTTACTTGTAGTTGGAAAATGATGAGTCGGACGGAAAATGTCATTAGATTCAATATTAAAAGGGACTAAATTCCGTATCGAATGACTTCTAATTTAATTGAATCGGTTCACTTTTATAGCCAAAATTCATAGTTAGAAACGTGGAAAATTTTTCATTTCGGCGTAAACGGTTTTTTAGCTACCAAAAGTTATGCTCACCTCCTGGGATGGTACAAACTCAGATTATACGCATTTAAAACCAGATAAAGGTATTAGAACGATTTCCAGCTTGCTGAACATTAATTCATCGAAACGATTTTTTTTTATTAAATTTTTTTTGGCCTAAAAATAAACTAAACACATAACATTCTAAAAAATCGTCTTGACTAAAAATATATACAAATCATATTTAATGGATAGTCCACCCTGAACGAAACAGCCATTTCCAGATACTGAACGTCAAAATTTGGGGAATGAAAGGGTACGTCGATCTTGTTTTCGAGGAGTACCTAATAGTATTTGACATTTATAATGTACAATAGTTTATTTGTTCCTGATTTGTAAAAATCATATAAAAATAAATTGATCTAAATAATAAAATTTTAAAACTCACTATATTCTCCCTGATTTTTTCTTAACAGGTTCACGTCTGCAAAAGTTGGGAACCATAGATTTTTTTTTGGGTTTGGAAAAAAGACGGTTCTAGAACGGTTCAAAACAATGGCGCAGTTTATTATTGCAATTTTTGAGAGCCGAGCCATTGTCATTGTGTTGATTGATAAACTGTGCGATTTGTTTTGAACCATTCTAGAGTCGTTTTTTTTGTGAAACCAAAACAAAGCTCATATTTGCTAATTTATCTATTGAAGGTATTCTGGTGATTAAGCTGAGTTTTCAAAAATATATACCTTGTGAAAAGTATTTTTCATTACTAGTCCAGAAAAAAGGATTCTTCCGTGCGCGCGTAACAAATTCTTGAAGTTATTCAAAAACGGAAAAATCCATTTCTGGGCGTGAAATGAACGATATTTTTTATTATACTTATTTTTTTTCGAATCATGGTCGATTTCCCCTCGACTTTAAAATAGGCACATCTCAGCGATTGAAAACTGCTTTAAAATACCTTCCTAATAATTACGCCAGAAGCTTGGATTTATGTCATAATTTTAGCGAGAATTTAAATTTGGAATTAAAAAGAAGAATCTAAGTCGATGCACTAGAAATTCTACTTTTTCTTTTTAGTATAGACATTTTGGATAAATACCTTGATTTTCAACCAATCTTTGTTACTTAATACTTGCTTATATTTTGACTTCAAGTCCTCACATTCGAGTCTTTTTGGAGGCTTTTTAAGTTCGATGTGTTCCTTAAAATAGTCCAGGGTGACTGTTTTTTGTTCATCTGTCCAGGGTACTAACTTACGATTCTTTCTCTTTTTGATCGTTGTAGCAGACTCTTCATCAATTTCATTTGATGAAGCAATATCTTGGCATCTACTAGTAGACGGCTTAGAAGTGTCTAGTAGCTCATCTATAATAGGATTTTCATCCTCATCATCATCACTATTATCATCACACTCTTTGTCGCCTAGAAGATTTTCTTCCATGTCAATATCGATTTCATCTATAGATTTTCCTTTATAGTGATCTGCTCCGCCTTTCTCCATCACCATCAAAAGCTTGGATATCTTCGCCGTTTGATAAACATCATCAGGTAATCGATAGGAGTTTTTGTGAACACCACTTGTATGCCCCATGAACGTAGCCAACTGTTCTATTTCTCCATCCGATAAGTTGAATAATTGCGATAAAGTTGCAAGATGTTTGCGCAATCGGGTTGAAGTGATTGATGATGGGTTTTGTGCACCACATAATTTAGCGTGTTTGGGTAGAACTTTATAACCTATTAAATGTGAGTCAGAATTCGCCATAGCAAAAAGATATGGGTTATTTTTTGGGACGAAATGGTCTCTAACTTCTAATACTTTTTTAATATGGTCTGTCAGAGTGGAATAAAACGGGAACTCCTCTGCCCCGCTTTCCTCGGATAACTACCCTTTTTAAAGATTTCAGAAGAACTTTTTCTGTTAGAGAGACGGCATTGTCAAATTCCTCATATTTTTGAGTTTCGGTTGAGGCATTCAGGTATGTATGCAAATACATTCTTTGTAGTTCTCCGGAACATTTTCTATTCAATAAAATGACTCTACAGTAGATAGTTTCCATTAGAATATTAAATGCTTGAATCGTTTTAGGGTTTTTCATGTTAAGTTTATGCTCGGTATCGTCTACTTGCATGACCTTTGCACTTTCAACTTCTTTGATAAGGACTTGCAAGGACTCCCCAGCTAATTTGATGAGATGTTGCCTCAATAAACGTAAATCACTAGCAAGAGGAACAATGGTTACTTTATTCCATTTGTTGAGGTTAAGGTTGTTGGCCGCTTGTGAAGATACCTCACAACTCCAATTAGTTTCAAAAAGGCGAATCAAGGTTTTCAGGTCCGCCTCTATTCCTGCAGCAGACAAAGTGTGTGCAACATTTTTGGTGTAGATAAAAGTAATTGCAATGTCGCAACACTGTTTCAAAGATCTTACAATATTCATGGCAAAAGTTGGTGAAAAATAAACATCCTGTTCAGAATCATATTTGGCAATACGTTTTGTGGCTTCCACAAAAATGTCGAAATAGTTTGGCTTCAAGGCTGAAATAAATGTAGTTATAGATGGTTCCAGTTTTCTCATTTCCAAAAGGATTTTGGAAAGTTCTCTCATTTTGCGAGATGTTACGTAAATAAAATGTTTTTCTCGGTGTGTTTTCAAGTATCTAGCTCCGTATTCGCAAATAAGTGGATCCTTTTGAGCTTCCAAAGATAACTTGTCCGCTCTCATATGGGGAAACACTTCCTCCTTTAGTCGACGATCTACTTTACCATTATAAAACATTTTTAACTGTTTTACATTTTTAGAGTCACCTGCATTCCCCTGTTTACATTTTTTTTTATGCCTGTATAAAAGCTTTGATGAAAAGTGCCCCAAGCAATTGTCACAAGGTAGTTTATCTCTTTCTGGTACATAACCCTCTCTAACTGGTTTGAAACAATCTCCGTCGGCCAAAAAATTTCCCTTTCTTCTAAGGAGATTGAATAGCTTTTTTCTTTCTCTACTTTTGATTGGTTTTGCTAAAATTTTTGCTACGTCATTTTCGTTTGAATGGTTTCTTAACACATGACGACTAAAATTGAGAACCTTAGTTTCGCAATAATAGCAATGATCTGGTTTTCTCTTATATGGCGCCTTAGTAGCAATGAGCTTTGTACAACCTGATTTACGCGGTAAATTTAGATCGTGATCGATATCTTCGACTCTATCCAGCGAATTAGTAGCAACGAGATTTGTACTTCTTGAAGTACTTGGTAAATTTAAATCGTAATCGCTATCTTCAGCTCTATCAGACTCCACAGTTGATGCGACCGCATTGATATTTTCAGTAGATATTTTACCCCTAATAGGGTTCCTGTTCCTACCAAGCTTCCCAGGCTTTTTCGGAGTCACATCGTCATCGGAACAACTTTCCTATGTGAAGAAGTTTTAAATAAAATACCTTGTGGGCCAATTCGGTGATAAAGGTATGATTATCTCGAAAACTAAAAGATCTAAAAAAACATTCAAATGCGTACTAAAGAAAGTTTTATAGACAGTTAAGGCCAATAATTTAATGATACCAATACAGTAGTTCTGATAGTTTTCGTAATCGAGCTATTTAAAAAAATAATACTTTGAAACATGAAACAAGTTCGCAATAAAAAGTATTTCATTAGGACACTGAATTAATTTCAATCTATGATTAAACTTACTTCGTCACTGCCGGGACAAAACAGAGAATCTTCACCGGACGATGCATGAAAAGGTTCTTCTGGGGTAGATGGAGATAATTCTGTATAACTTTGGATTTCAACATTTCTGAATAATTTTTTTGAGCGGAGATTACGTTTTGACTAAAATAGAAATTACGTTAAAGAAAAGCAATTGGATGAAAGAAGAGAAAGTTATTTTGACTAAGAATGCAACTTGCCTTATTTTTTAAAGAAATCCTTTTTTTAATGGTTTTGTCGATATTTTCGATGTCTATGCTATTTTCTGAAGAGTTTTCCTCGAAGCTATCAGATTTCACATAGGCTGGTTTTATGATTGCGATATCCTTGACGATTATTTTCTTTTCTTTTTCTCGAGAAAAAGAAGTTTCCTGATATAATTATAAATTAGATAGATATATATATATACCTATATAAGAAAATATTTGGTTTGATTTTCTATGTTGTACTATACCTATATATATAGATAATAGTTTTTGTATGTACCATCGTCACCAAAAGTAACTGGGACAGCATCACATTAGCTCTTGTCCTATTATATGAATTTTATTGTCAAATATTTGTCAAACTATGCAGTAAATGCATTTAAATGAATGACGATAGAATTAGTCCAGGAGATTGCATTATTTGTGTCCCAGTTACTTTTGGTGACGATGGTACATTATACATACAGGGTGTTACAAATTCTAGTGTGTGCATGGGGATCTCGGAAACCATAAACCGCAAAATGAGAGAACTTTCCAAAGTCCTTTTGGAAATGAGAAAACTAGAACCATCTATAACTACATTTATTTCAGCCAAACTATTTTGACATTTTCGTGGAAGCCACAAACCGGATTGCCAAATTTGATTCTGAACGGGATATTGTAAGATCTTTAAAACAGTGTTGCGATATTGTCTTTATCCACACCAAAAATTTTGCGCACACTTTGTCTGCTACAGGAATAGGGGCGGACCTGAAAACATTGATTCGCCTTTTTGAAACTAATTGGAGTTGTGAGGTATCTTCACAAGCCGCCAACAACCTTTACCTTAACAAGTGGAATAAAGTACCCATTCTTCCTCTTGCTAGTAATTTACGTTTATTGAGGCAACATCTCATCAAATTAGCTGGAGAATCCTCGCAAGTCTTTATCAAAGAAGTTGAAAGTGCAAAGAAGATCATGCAAGTTGACGATACCGAGCATAAACTTAACATGACAAACCCTAAAACGATCCAAGCATTCAATATTCTATTGGAAAATATCTATTGTAGTCATTTTATTGAATAGAAAACGTTCCGGAGAACTGCAAAGAATGTATTTGCATACATACCTGAATGCTTCAACCGAAACTCAAAAATATGAGGAATTTGACAATGCCATCTCTCTAACAGAAAAAGTTCTTCCGAAATCTTTGGAAAGGGTAGTTATCCAAGGATTCCGAGGAAAGCGGGGCAGAGGAGTTCCCGTTTTATTTCACTCTGAAATACAAGACCATATTAAAACAGTATTAGAAGTTAGAGACCATTTCGTCCCAAAAAACAACCCATATCGTTTTGCTATGGCGAATTCGGACTCACATTTAATAGGTTATAAAGTTTTACCCAAACACGCTGAATTATGAGGTGCACAAAATCCATCATCAATCACCGCAACCCGATTGCGAAAACATCTTGCAACCTTATCGCAATTATTCAACTTATCGAATAAAGAAATAGAACGTTGGCTACGTTCATGGGGCATACAAGTGGTGTTCACAAAAATTACTATCGATTACCCGATGATGTTTATCCAACGGCGAAGATATCCAAGCCTTTAGTGGTGATGAAGAAAGGCAGAACACTATAAAGGAAAATCTATACATGAAATCTTTTGCTCCTCTACAAAATGCTTCTATCAAATTTAAAATCTGACGTTTCGTCTTTGGGCCACCATCATCAACTTAATTTTTTTAAATACCTACCTCTATTTCTTATTTTGGATTTTATAAGCTTCTGATGTCCCAAAACCAATGACGTATTGCACCTATTCGATTTTTTTTAAAATTATTGGAACTTTCCATAAGAACTAAATGTGTAGACAGAGACAGAGAAAAAAAATGTTGGTAGGAAATTACTAAAAAGTAAAAAGAATTTTTTTTCGAATAAACGTGATACGTCATAGATTTTGGGACATCAGAAGCTCTTTAAATTTGAAATAAAAAATCCAGGGTCATATTCAAAAGAATAGATGATGATGGTGGTCCAAAGATGAAACGTCAGATTTCAAATTTGATAGAAGCATCTTGTAGAGGAGCAAAAGTAGCAATGTGAAGTAATATTTATTTCGGGATATCTCTTCAAATAAACTCAGAAAAAAAACCGCTTTTGTAAAATTTTCGGTTTATTCCTAATATTGCTGGAACTATTAGGAATTTTTAAATTTTCAAAACGGTACTTTGTTAAGCTAAAAATTGCGCAACTTTTCCTCAATTTAATCGACCTCGTATCTCTTATGGTTTCCGATATCCCTATGCACACACTCGAATTTATAACACCCTGTCAACTGTACTGTGGGTTATAAGAACTACATTTTACATTAGAATTCATTTAAGAAAGAGTTTTTGGTATTTACCGGGCTAGGAAAACCTCGATTGCAAAACCAGTTCGACTTTCTATGGCTAAAAGAGTGACTGTTATGATCTGAAAAAAAAGTATGAACGATGAAATAATGATATTAATGATTAGGTGAATAGAGAGGCATGCAATAAAATGTTATTGTTAGATATTTACATGGTTCCTGGGTTTTTGGAACATCATCCCTATTATCAACAGTGGACGGGTTCATTTCCACTTCTAAATAACCATTTGTTGGGTATACCGAAAAAAAATCATTTTCTACGTTGGCACCGGTTGACACAGGCGGCGTTTCATCTATCATGAATATCAATAAAATAAATAGTCAGTTTAATCAATGAACAATCATTATTCATCAATAACGATAATTGAAATTTATAAAGTTAGGTACAAATGGATGGCAATCTTTATAGATCTATCAAAGAATTTTGATTCGACTGATCATTAATTACTGAAAGGCGTGAAAAAAGTTTTGATGAATCTCTGCCTCTAAGTTCAAAAAACTTTCCTTAGAATATTGGCTGCGAATGAAAATATTCAGTTTTGCTCTTGAGGGGGAGGGAACGTCAAATGTTGGTGTGCAAAATTTGGTTATGCTTGTGAAAAAAGTAGTATGAATAACCAAAAATAATAATTAACTAAATAGAGAGGTAGCTATACTTCTGAAGAAGATGATAGTGATGTGGACGAAAACCTTCCATTAATCAATTATGTGCCAAAAAAATAGTCAGTAGGAACAGAGAAAAAAAACTTAAGTCCAACATGTTTTTGAAAAAATATTAATAAAGAAGAATTGTTTGTTTACATAACTGTTTTACTGATACATGATCCTTTAAAAATAGTTAACAAACGTTTTTGACAGATTGAAAATCATCTATTGACAAAAACAATTTTTACAGGTAAATTCAAATCTTTATTTCCATTTTTCTCAAAACTAACTTTTTGGACTTACATGATTCTGCTTGTACGCCCACGATTTATAGATCTGTCGAAGGATGTTGATTCGACTGATCATTCACAATTACTGGAAGGCGTAAAAAAGTTTTGATTATTTACCAAGGACCTTTAAGTTTAAACAGCTTTTTTCTTAGAATATTGGCTATGGAAAGAATTCTGTCAATCAATGTGACTAATTTTGCACAATTTTGCAGCTATATGTTTGAATTTTGCACACATTTGTGGAGAAAGTTATGGCATTTCGAAAAAAAAAAATATATTTTGCAAATGCCATACATTTCAATACCAAGAAGTGCAAAGTTTAAAAATATTAGAACATGATAGTACTGAAAGTATTCAGTTTTGCTCTTGATGGGGGAAAATATGACATTTTCGAAATGCCATAACTTTCTCCACAAATTGTGCAAAATTATAGAATATAATAGTACTGAAAATATTCAGTTTTGCTCTTGATGGGGGGAAATTATGATATTTTCGAAATGGAAACTTTCTCTACGAAGGTGTGCAAAATTGAAATGAAGTATACTAGAATAAGATAGTACTGAAAATATTATTTCCATAAGTTTCTCAAATATTGGTGTACAATTTTTCAAGATAGGTATTTGATTTTATAATTGCTAGCTGTAGGTACCCTGCGTATGTTGCTGCCACAGAAATGTTGCATTTTTCCGGGATAAAAAGAGCTTGTAATACTCCCCTTTATATAGAGACTACGTGGTATAAATTTCAAGGAGGTCGGTTGAACGGTTCTGAGTCCATAAACAACAAACAAACAAACAATGATTTTATTACGGGGAGGAAACTTGAAGCACCCAAGAACTGGCAAAGAGAGTATACTACCTTGGGTACTACACTGTCTAAAGTTGGAGTAAAAATAACCAAATCAATTTATCTAATATGAAAAAATAAATAGATATTTGTTTGACCGTTGTTTATGGACTCGGAAACCGCAAAACCTATCTCGGTGAAATTTATAATATCACGTAGTTCCTATACACAGAAAACCAATCGAAGATTGCTTTGATTACGAAAACGTACATCGCATTACTGTTTCCTTATTGGTCAGGATTTTTGACATGGCATTTTGACATTCAAGTTCATTGACATATCTCTTTATCTCAGAAAAATGCACAGTTCTTGTGGAATAGATCTGATGTTGGATGTTGGGTTAGTTTGGCATAGCAACGTATGCAGGGTCTAGCTAATTTTTAATATGATGGGAATGATCTATTTGCGATTGTGGCTTGTTATAATACCATGACCTCTCGAACTGCATCAAGTACCTACACTATTATTGTTAAAAAAGTTGTATATTATTATGACTTACCTCTGGGTCCCCTCTGACATAAACTTAATATTTTTGCACTTCGGTTCATGTTTGCTAACGGAAGCAACAATGGCTATGCTTGCTGCTAAAATGATCACACGATCGAATCGATCGATACAAAACATCACACCACACAAAAATCCCGAGCTAAAAATAGATTGCCATGTTGCCAAGCTTCGGACGCAATAACATACTAGGTTTATATACTGTATACTTGACTGTGTATATTATTTTCGCACCTCT